TGACCAGTGAACCACTTGAGCTGGAAAGCATCTCCGTTCGTCTCTATGAGACCTCCCTGGGAACGCACCTGCTTGGCCTGTCTTCATGAGTTTACCTTCGTCCATTATTCAGAACTTCGGCCTGAGTGGCCATGGGGTGTTTCCACGCGTTTACAGTCAGTAATGAAGCTAATGATGTGCATTTGCCCACATAAGGACAATTCAGAGAGGACCTGTCCTGTTTTCAAAGGTTTATCCTTCTCCGTTGAGGTCACTATCCCAGGGAACCATCCTTTTGTGACAGTTGCTGTGACTTTTTAAAATGGCCCTAAATAAATGATCACTTCTTTTATCTGCTTGTTGTCTGTGTGTAAAAGCATTATGAATCGGCTCGGTCAGCCCAGTTTGAGGAAGTAGGGAGCCTTCTAGGTCCCTACAGAAATTGAAAAAATAATAGGTTTATATTTTATATATACACTCGTACATATTAAGTTTAGCAATTAAGTATTTATTATAAATGCTAATCTCAGTTGATAGTGCTGATGGTTGTACAACCCTGTGAATATACTGAAAACCATTGAATTATACACTTTAAATGGGTGAATTGTATGTGAATTATATCTTGATAAAGCTGTTATAAAACTAAATAATAGTCTAACTGCTGGCTCTGAAATGTGGATGTAAGGTAAGTTTTTTTAAAAAGTACTTTTCAAGTTTTACCTATAGTTTTAGTCATGTGTGTGTGTGTTTCCTTCATTGAGGAGAAAGCGAATCAACTATAAATTGACAACTCTTCCTTATGGAAGAATTCCAGAGAGTAAATGCAGAACGAATGAGAGCAATAGACAATCACCATTAGGACAGCACAGTGGGAATTGCTACTGGCATGATCCATCTGGGACTTCTAGCATCAGTGGGCAGAAGTTTAAGGAGAAACAGGATATCTGCTCGGCCTCCAAGCATCTCCCCCCCAAAATATGTATTCATTATAAAGGGAAGAATAGTAACTTTACAGTAGACAAACCCAGCAGCCCCCACCTTTGCTGACAGTCAAAGCGAGCACCCCCGTTAACCAGACACAAGAACATCACGCACCCCGGTAGGGTGTGCTGAGAAGGGCACATGAGCTCTGCGGTCTTCCCCCAAATCCCAGACCTCAGCCTACTCGTGAGAAAGCATCAGACAGATCCACATCCAAGGATGTTCCACCAGCTACCTGACCGGGACACATCAAAAGTGTCAAGGTCACGAAAGACAAGGAGAGACTAAGGAACTGCCACAGACTGGAGGGGAGTGAGGGGACAAGAGAACCAGATGCAGTGCGGGATGCTGCATGGGGCCCAGAACAGAACAGCATCTCTGGGGGAAACTGGGGACATCTGAGTAAAGTTTGTATTTAGTTAATAGTGTTGTGCCAGGGTTAACTTCTTAGTTTTGATTACTGTACCATGGTTATATATGGTGAAGGGTATTTGCGAACTTCCCAAGCTCTTTCCCACTCTCTGTAAGTCTAAAATTATTTCAAAAATAAGAAAATCTACATATTATATGGAAATGGAAAGATATGTGCGGGATTATTTACCTGGCCTCATCAGGTGGTGAAGTGTTGTACGTAAATGAAATTTCCCAAAATACAAAATAGTTTTCTCATTCTGACTTTCCGATGGAATATCGCCACAACATAGTAACAGTCTTCTTGCCTTACGGTCTGTTAAATATGTTTTAATTTATTCTTGACCCGGGTCGTCATTACCAGCTTTAGTTATTAAGCGCAGTGGTCATTTAGGGCCGAGGAATTGAATGAGAAGTTCAGGGCTCTTTGTCTCTATGCCATGTGGCTTTGAGATCTTATATCTGAGCTTTACAAGTTTTTGTTTGTTGTTTTGTCTCTAGTATGCTCAGGCTGTCTGTATCTGCTCCTACAGCTTCTGGGATGCCTTTCTTTTTCTGTGATAATTCCTGCTTCTATTTTCCTCGAATATTCTACTTTTATTTTTCTGTAATATTTTGTTAGTAGAAATCATGTATTTTTTGAAGTGTTCATGCCTGTACCTAATCCATTAGCTTAAATAATGATGCCCTGGCCCACCAGTGACATACGCTAAGCCCCAGTACTTCTGCCCCTCGTTACAGGCAGTCCCTGTTCAGCCGGAGATATGCGTGCGTGGTGGTTAGAGCTGAGGGCTCTGCTGCCTGTGCTTTAGCTCCCCTCTGCCATTCTAACTGTGTGGCTCTGGGCAAGTCCCTTCCCCTTTCTGTCTCAGTTTCCTCATCTGTAAAATGGGGCCAGTCATAGTACCTGCATAATGGATGCTTATGAAGACTAAATAAATTGATAACACCCAGAGAGTGTGGAAGGACACCTCAGTAAATTGTATTTGTTCTTATTGTTGCAATGTCATTATTATTCCTGTTTGCCATGTTCAACATGATTTTGAGTTTGGGAGCAGAGGGTGCTTCTTCTATAAAACGACATCTTGCTCAATACTCCTGTTCAGCAGACTAAACAGGCAAAGCCAGGACTTTTCTGATGTTGTTTCCTCCTCATTTCCCAGAAAAGAGGTTTCCTTGCTTTCTCCCTTGACAGTTATGAAAAGGGACAGCTGTTGGCTGAGAAACGATTTATCTTGGGATGAGAAATAACCTTGAAAAAAAACTATTTTATAGATCGACGCCATATATTTTGACCAGAATGTAGGGTACATGTGTTGAAATGTGTTGAAAATGAATGCAAATGTGCCCAAGTGTGTTAGAGAAATAATCTTCCCTTCAAGGCCCACATCCACCCGGGGGGCAGGAGCAAAGATAATCTGGGAAATTGCAGAGTTTGCTCTTGGGTATTCTCCAAGGAATCTCAGGTTACCCAGGCAACAGCCAGCGAACTCCTTAGCCTGCAGAATACGCTTTCTGGGGGACCCCAGGAGCTGATCTTGAAGTTTCCCTTGGTGCCCGAGTGCCAGTGGTGCCACTTGAAAGAACCAGGAGGACAGTCGTAGCTGCTTGGGTCACTTCAGGGGAACAAGGCATAGGAAACCAAAGTGCCAGGATTATTCCTGGGTCCTCTTTGTGCCAGGACGGGAGGCCAGAGCCAAGCAACAATGGTGGTTGGAGGCCTGGAGCCCTGGAGTCCATCAGCATCTGCAGAATGGTCATTTCTGCCCCACAGGGTTGTTACGAGGATTAACTGAGATCACACACGAGACTTGCAAACATTGTGTGGATGAGGGCCCGACTTTGGCAGGTCCTTAAAACACAGACATTTCTAAATCATAGCAGCTGCTATCATTATGACACTGATTTTTCTCTAATGTGCCTGCCAGCATTGCTCCCTTGTGGGTCAGCTGCTTGGGCTCGCCTCCCAGGGTGGTAAGGCACCTCCGCGTGTGCAGGTCGCTGAGGTTGGAAATGCTTTTCCCAGTGAGGGCTTCTCGGCAGGGGAGGAGATGCCCGCACCTGTTCAGGAGGCCAGACGGATGTTTAACGGGCTGGGAGATAGTTCATGGAGGTATCAGTGCTTGGCAAAAACCAGTTTGTAAAATGTTTTAATCCAGATTAAAATTAAGGTGGCAAATAGTTAAAGGAAAATTGCTGTGGGGTGGGGAGAGAGAAACAAACCCACCCAGCGATGCACAGTGGGACCTTCTGGTAGAAGGGCCCTCTCACTACAGATCAGAGGGAATGTTGAGATACGAGAATATCTCCATCAGGGTATGTGGATTTCTCTAAGATTTTTTTGTTTCATTTGTTTTAAAGTTTTCATCTAGAAAATTTCTCCCCCAAAAGGAAAATAGCTGAGGAAGAAATGGAAAAACAAAGAGCCACATTTTCAAAGTGCAATGAAAAGATGGGCTGCTGGATCGGGGTTATGCAGGTTCCTGCCTGGGACAGCCCTGCCCAGGGGGACTGGGGTCCGCAGGAGTTCCCGCCACCCAGTCCCCAGTCCCTGCACAGAGCTGCTGTGGGAGCGCAGAGTGAGCAGTGAGCACTGGGCAGGCTGTTGAGAGTCCCGACTGTGGGTCTCTACAGCTGGCCATGTGACCCAAATGACCCCTGACCTCAAGCGCAGCTTCCCATACCCTCAATGAACATTCCAGCTCCAACAGCCTATGCCTTTGCTCCTGAGGTTCTTTCATGGGCAGCTCTATAAGACCTCACCTTTGTATTAGAACATCTTTTCACAGCAGGGTACAGGCCAAGCAGCCTTTTGTAAATGTTTGTAAATATTTGTAAATGTAGCATTGAGTTGCCCAACTGTGAAGACTGCTGCCTCAGGCTCCCGGAGATCAGCCTCGTCCCCACAGGCCATTCCAGTCTCACTGGCCTTTAGCCCCTTCACAGCACATTGTGTGGCCTTGACTCGGATGTGGGGAAGCCTGTGCAGAACCCCCAGCTGTGTTCAGTGTGCCCTCTGGTGCCCAACAGGTCTGATTGTTGGTTTTGCATATTCATGGCTCTAAATGCATAGACCATCTTACAAAGCCAGGAAAGCCAATGTGCTGGGGGCATACCTAAGGAGCAGGTGGCCTCTTCCTAAAGCACATCAGGCGGACTTGAGGAGAGAAAAAAATGCCTGAAACAAACTAATGCCAAGAGATTCCAGTGACCAAATGACTACAGAAGAGTAGATACCAAGGATGACTGTTCTATGATCAAGGATGTTAAATTACCAGATGAACTATTTAATAACCAGACAGAATAGTCAACAGTGTTTTATTCTTTATGGCTGAATAATATCCCATTATATTGATAGGCCACAGTTGATCCATTCATCAGTCAGTGGACATTTGAGTTTCTACTTTTTGGCTGTTGTAGATAATGCTGCCCTGTGTTTGTGTACAGGTTTTTGTATGTTTCAACTTGGCCAGTTTGTTTTTAGTTCATCCTGGAGTGGTTCAGTAAGGCTTTCACTGGCCACGACCATCCTACGTGACAGCAAATTGCAATAGCATCAGACTTGTTTGAATTACACATCATGGTCACCTTTTCTGGGTATGTTTCCATGGTCTGTGTTTTTCTCGTAGACCTGCCTTTCATGTGGAATCACGTTTGCTCCCAAATTTGAAGCTGGTGCAGAAGGAGGAGCCGTCCAAAATGGCTGTCAAGATGAGCATAAAAACAGCACCAAGGTAACAAGCTCATGGCTGTTGTTCCTGTCAGTTCCTCTCCTGGCGCATCCACCTAAGGTGACATTCCTGTCTTGTCAACTTCTTAGTTCTGGGAATAACTCCTCTTAGGTAATACCACTCCATGCCTTCTAGTCCTTTGGGTTTTGAGTAGACCAATAAAGAACAAGATGGAGAGTCAGAACTAGCCCACGTGAAAGAGCACACTCACATGCTGAACTGAGTGGGACTCCTTTAGTGGACAATAAGAGTTTTAAAATATGTGTATTAGAGTGTTTTGGAAAGGATTTCTGGGGCTGGGAGATGGACTCAACATATGGTAGAATATAGATGTGCAAAGAGGAGAGGGGATTCTTCAAGATGAGAAATGCACCATGAAGAGAGGGTCAGAGTTAGGGCAAGCAGCAAGGAGGCTACCAGAAAAATTGGACTTTGAGAAGAAGGTCAGGACTGAAGTGGAAGGCAGATAAAGCCCAAACCTGAAAGCCCATCAAGAAGGCTTGTGCAGGCCGGGTACAGTGGCTCACACATGTAATCCTAGCACTTTGGGAGGCTGAGGCTGGAGGATCGCTTGAGGCCAGGGGTTTGAGACTAACCTGAACAACATAGTGAGACCCCATGTCTACAAAAATTAGAAAAATTGGCCAGGTGTGGTGGTACACACCTGTAGTCCCAGGTAGATCACTTGTGCCCAGAAGTTTGAGGTTTCAGTGAGCTATGATTGTGCCACTGCACTCATGCCTGGGCAACAAAGCAAATTGCTATCTCAAAAAAAAAGGAGGCTTGTGCAGGCTGACTCCCCAGGGGCCCAGGCTCTGCCATCCTCCTTCCTCTCATCATCTGCCAAGTAACTGCATGCAGGTCAACCCTTGTCCCTAACAGCCACGGTCAGCACCCACAGCACAGGCCCCTGTGTTCATACACGTCTCCTAAGCCACAGAACAGACGGCTCCATGTTTCCTTTCCCTGGACCCATCCTCACACTTCCCTGAGCCCCCAAATCTTCCACACTGCCCCCTGAGCCCTAGCTCTAGTTTGTAGTGAACAAACTCCTAGAACCCCAACTTTCCACTTTCCAGCTCCTTGCTGTCTCTTCCCAGCATATCACTTTCCTGGTGGCCTGAACACCCGGAGATGCCATTTGAGGAAATAGGGCAACAGGGAGAAGCAGATTGGCTGAGAGGCTGAGCGTTTGGTTAAGAGCAGATGTGCAGGTGCAGGCCCCTCGGACAGGTCACAACGTCTGGCACATAGTGCGGGGGGACCCTGGCGTGGCAGAGAGCTCAGGGCTGGGGATAAGCGCGTGTTCCCTGCGCCACTTCACTTTCGATGTTTGCCCCCTCTTTGTCTTGAGGCAGGCTTCTGGAGGACCTAGTTCTAAAACTCAAAATGGACTTCTGAGCCCTCCCCAAGAGGAGAAGCTCACCAACAGTCAGACCTCTCTGTGTGAGATCTTACAGGAAAAGGGCAGGTGGGCAGGGGTGAGCTTGGACCAGTCGGCTCTCCTTCCGCTGAGATTCAAGAACATCCGGGAGAAAACTGACGCCCATTTTGTGGATGTCATCAAAGAAGACAGGTAAGATTGGAGCCATTGTGTCGAAAGCAGAGGTTGCAGGTAGAAATCTCCTCTTTCGTTGCTTTGCCTTAGCCGCATGTGTTGGTCCTCTATGGTCAGTATATTACTTTCATTTTGAAACTTACAGAAAAGTTGCACAAATACATAGAATTCCCTTAATACCCTTTGCTGATTTACTAACTTTTAGCATTTTGTTATTGCTCTTCTCTCTCTTTCTCCTTTCCTCTTTCTCCCTCTATGAAATTTATTTTTTATTTTCCATGAACCATTTGACAGTAAGTTAGACACATCCTGCTCTTTACCTCTTCCTACCGTATTTCCTAAAAACAAGGATGTTGTTTGACATAATCTTATTAAATTCAGGAAGTTTAACACTGCTGTGATATTTTTATCTAAAATACACTCCATATTCTGATTTTCTCACTGGGTTCAGCATGTCCTTGACCGCACTTTCCCGTAGTCGAGGATCCAGTCCAATATCACAGCTCGCACAATTTGGTCGTCATGCCTCTTTAGTCTTGTTAAATCTGGAACAGTTCCTCAGCATGCTTTGTCTTTCATCATGTTGACATCTGTGAAGAACACAGGCCCAGGCCTTTTATAAAATATTCCTAAAGTTGCATTCATGTAGTATTTCCTCATGATCAGAGTCAGGTTCTGCCTTTCTGGCCAGATACTACAGAGGTGACGCTGTGTCCCTCTCAGGGCATTATTTATATCCAGAGGTACACGGTGCTTATTTGTTCCTCATCAGTGATATTCATTTTGATTAACCAGACAAGGTGTTGCCAGTTTCTCTGACCTAGAATTATTATTTTCTCCTTATGACTAATAAGGAATCTGTAGGAAGATATTTAAAATCTTGTAAATATTCCATTCCTCATCAGACTGAATTATTCCATTGACGATCCTTGCCTAAAACAGTCTTTACTGTGATGCATCAAATGGTGATTTTCCAACCTTGCACATTTGTCATTTGGCTCCTGGCATTCCACTGTGAAGAACAGTCCTCCCTCCCATTCATTGTCTTATCTATCTATCTATCTATCTATCTATCTATCTATCTATCTATCTGTTATCATCGTGAACTCATGCATTCCTGTTTTATTTAATGGGCTATAATCCATCACTGTCCAGATTATATTTGGATGCTCTAATTATCCCAAATCTGGCCAATGGGAGCCCCCTTTAGGCTGTGACATGGCCCCACCATTTGTTTTGAGCAATTTCTTACTTTCTAGCGAGATATGTTCCAGGCTCATTTTATATTTTCCTTCCTGTCCTAGCTGAGGAATCAGCTGTTTGTCCAAAGAGCCTTTGTAGTGAGGAATGGTATTTAGATGTTAGCTGTTAATGTCTAATTTAATGTTGTCATAATCTAAGAGCATATCTCTGTGGTTTCAGTCCTTTCACATTAATCGAGACTTGTTTTGTGACCTCACATGTCTGTTTTGGTGAACATATCGTACACACTTGAAAAGAGTGTATATTCTGCATTTATAGGATGTGCAATCCATAAACATTAATTAGATCCAAGTGGTTGGTAAAATTGTTCAGATCCTCTATCTCTTTACTTAATTTTTTTAATCTATTCTATCAATTGTTGAGAGAGAAGGGTGTTAAAATCTCCAACTATAATTGTGTATGTTCCTCTTTAGTCTAGACAATTTTTCTTTCAAGTATTTTGAAGTTCTTTTTTAGGTGCATACACATTTATGAGTTATATATTCCTGATGAATCGATCCTTGTTGTCATTTTGAAGTGTCCCTCTTTATCCCTGGTGATGCTCATTGTCTTGGAGACTGCTTTATCTGATATTAATATAGCCACTCTATCCTTCTTTTGTTTACTGTTTGCTTTTCTTTTTTTTTTTTTTACTTTTGACATATCTGTGTCTTCATATTTGAAGTGCATCTTTCAGGGTCCTACTTTTTTATCCATTCTGACACTCTGCCTTTTAATTTCGTTTTAATATGTTTATTGGCTTTTTACCCATACCGCTTTGCATTATTTTTCTTTTAATAGCTGCTCTAGGAGTTACCTGCTTTGGTCACTTTCCAGTACCTTCCAGGAGTTGTTTTATATTTTGTCTAGAGTTTATAGTTTCTATCTGTGAGAGGATTAGTCCAAAAGGAGCTATCTTCCATTCCTAGAAGTGGAACCTCCCAATATTAATTTAAAAGGAGCGGCACACCTTATAGTGGTGTTGATTCTGCCACTCGCCTGCTAATGTGGCCGTTACATATTCTTCTTACGGCTACTTTGTTGTTTTTTCCTTTGTTCATACTTTCTGAGTATAAGAGAGGGGAAGGGGTTAACATTAGGAGACAGAATTTTCTCTCTCCTGAGTCTGAGAACATAGGAAGTTAGTGCACACTTGTCACAGAAAAGAGAGTCCACTATGCTACAAGGAAAGGAAGGAGTATACATATGGTAAGCCCTACTTTGTGTCGGGCACGTGCTAGGCACTTTACATATTTTATCTGATTTAATTCTAATAGTTACTACATGAGGGAAAGTAACTATATTTTGTGGCTAAATTCACCTACAGAAATCATGTTAACGGTCCCCTAAATTTATCATAATTTTTCTGCAGTATAAAAAGGATATTACTACTTGCTGGCAATTCATAAAAGAATGAGAGTCATGTAAAGCAGGTTTGACTTCTCTGCTATTAACATCATTGAACGGTATCATTTTTCAGGTTTCACGCACAATCTGCATATGTGACAATAGCACCAAAATTACCCTAACTATAAACACAATTTTGTGATAACAACCTGTTATTTTTTATGGTGGCAATTACTGTCAGTACTCTGAATGACAGGACAGCCGGCTCTGAATTGTGTTTTCATTTGAAGCCTCCAAATCAATACAAGTGCTCTCGGTACAAGGATCTGCTGGCTCTTCAGAAAAGATCGTTCCACAGAACAAAAAACCTGCCTTCATCTTCTTCTAATCCTAGATATTAGGAATATGTTTTCAAAAGCAGGGTTCTAATAGTCTTGGTGGATGGTCATTCTTTAATGGAGATGAGACATGAAATGCAATTATGTTTAGGAACTCTTTCCAGAGATGTTTTAAAAGGGGCAGTGGAACATCTATTATACAGTGACTCAGATGCAGCTGTTGTAATGTCCCTGATGAGTGGCATTTGGTAGTTAATCATGATCTGATAAAATAATTACAGTGATTGTGCTTGGATGTTGATCGATTGCATTTATTGTGTCTTCTAGCCTGATGAAAGATTATTTTTTTAAGCCGCCCATTAATCAGTTCAGCCTGAACTTCCTGGATCAGGAGCTGGAGCGATCCTACAGGACTAGCTATCAAGAGGAGGTGCGTTTTTTCCTTGTAATGTTACTAAAGAAATTAGTAGTTCCCACTAGGTGGTTTAGCAAGTGATGGGAAAATGGAGACTAATACTGATTTATACAATCTGCAAACACTAAATTGCAACTATATGTGAATTTATCTTTTCAAGAGAGAAAAAAGCTTTTCTGTGTCCTTTGTCTTAAAGCCCAGCCTCATAATAACCAGACCCTTTCTGCTGCAGCTGCATCTCTTGGCCCCTGTGGCTGTCCCCAGCCCTGGAAGGCCCAGCTACCTGTCCCAGAAGGGACCCCCTGCCACACCTATCCTGGGTTCTTGAGTGAGACTTCTCCACTTGTTATCTGGTTTCTTCGCCCCTGAAATGGGCCAGTAACACAGGAGGCTTTTACCTCTTTCTGTAAAACTCTGGCTCCTTGACCTTCTCCCACTGCATCACCTTGACCTTTGTTGTCCTTGAACTCTCAGCCCAAACATCATTTCTTCTAAGAAACTCTCCCTGACCCCAGACTGGATTTTACTTCCCCTGTGTACTTTCTCTTCTTTGTGCACCTCATTTTGGAATCTTTACTGGTGTGAGTCTTGAATCATATGCCTCCCTTCCTAGACTCTCACTCCACAGGGCAGGACTTCATCTTTCGTCCCCTCCACCCAGCATCTAGCATGGGCCCCACACCTATATGTGCTGAGTAGGGGTTTTTTGAAAGGAATAAATACAAGAACCTGGAGCCTGGTTTGAATTCTGAGCAGCCAGATTCCTGCCTTCTTTCCTCTGGGCCCAAACCTGACCTCTTTGCATGTTCCCAGGTCAAAAATGCAGACCTTCCCAATCCTAGGACCAAAAGAATCTCTTCTTCAAATTCCATTTGTTCATTTGGCAGATCTTTATTAAATGTCTGTTGTGTACAGGCACTGGCCTAGGCTCTAGAGAGATCGTGGTGAAACAGATAGATCCAGTTCATGCCTTGGGCTGGAGGTGCCTCCTTCTGTTAGCCTCCAAGGGACAGTAAATATCCGTTAGTATCCCGGGCACAGCTCCTCCACTGGACTTGTGAATTGGTTGGTTGCTGGCCTGTACGGCAAAACGTTATCTCCCTTAATCCTCACAACAGCCCTTTGTGGAAGCTTATGATTATCCCTATTTTACCAAAGAGAAAGCCAAGGCTAAGAAAGGCTGAGTAGGTGGCCCACAGTCCTCTAGCGAGGCTGGACACCAGGTGTCTGTCTTCCAAGCCAGGCGTCCCGACTGCTCCTGGCGCCATGCTGCTGAGCCTCCCGAGGAGAAGGCACCTTTACCGTCCATTCCTCCAGGCCCCAGATGTTTAGCAGGTGCTGCTCCCGGTGCTGGGATGTAGAGATGAGAGACACAGCCTGATAGGGAGCAGTAAATGGACAGATTTGATAGTCCAGAGCCAGAGGTCTGGTAATGCCCTTCAAGCACACAGCGAGCCCCGACACCAGATTGAGGGCTCAGAGGGCGGTAACTCCTGAGCCTGCTTTAGTGGGAGGACTAGGAATTAACCAAATGTGGGAGGGAACATTCTGGAAAGAGGGTCCGGTGTCCACAAACTTTAGAGATACAAAAGAGTCTGATGCATCCAGGAAGTTGCAGGTGCTTCCTTGTGCAGGGTAGGGTGGGAGAGGCAGGAGGTGGGCAGGGACCAGATTGTGGCTGCCATGCTGTGGACATTATGCTGAAGGCCAGCGGGAGTTGTTGAAGGGTCCAGAACAGGAGGTGGCACCATCATACTGTTTTTATAGAGATCTCAAGGCTGAGTTGGGGAAGGTGGTGGAGAGTGGGCAAGACAGGAGGCCATGCAACAGGTGGGACACTGTTACCAAAAGCCAGGACAGGTCCAAAGCTGTCCAATGCAGGGTCAGGGTGGAGAGGAAAGGAGAGACTTGGGGTCATGGGGCACTTCTCAGCTGGCCCCTATGTTTGGGCTCTCGCTGTGCTGAACACTCCCCATGGGTGTTTCTTAGGTGAGCATCACCACCTCCCACCAGGTGCAGGTGCCAATTTTATCCCTGGTTTCAGATAAGGAGACTGAGGCACAGGTAGGTTAGGTGACGTGCACAGATGTCGTAGCCAGTCGTGGTGGAGCTTTGAACCCAGACAGCTCCAATGCAAAGCCTGTGCCCAAGGACGGGATAAGACCCGTGCCCAGAGCTGACTGGATGCAGGCAGTAAGGGGAGTGGAGTGGATGAAGCCCTAGGAGGAGAGGGTTGCTGAGGGAACACGGTTCCCTGAGGTGGCCCCAGGTAGAACGTGCAGAGAGGAGAGAAGGGGGCCAAGGCAGTTGTCTCTGGGAGGCACCAACCCAGGGCTGTAGGGCAAGCAGGAGAGACAGCAGAGGAGGAGGAAGGAGGTGCAGGAGGGGCCTTGGCCAGAGTCTAGGGAGGGGGCTGTTCCGCAGAGGGAGGCAGCAGCTCTCCAAGCAGGATGGGAACTGGACTGAGCCCGTTGGACCTGGAAGGCAGGAGATGTGGGCTCCCGGAAAGGGCACTGGCCCAGGTGGAAACCGTCTCCAAGGGCACCTCCCCACCCTGCCCTGGCTCCAACACTCAGTGATCCGCGGTGGTGTATGTGTCTTGGTCCACGGATGCTAGATGAGCCTGCCACCTGGAATCCCAGCGGTGTCGGGGGTCCTCTTAGGTCATATGTATCAAACCCTATGACATCAGCTATTGCAACAGAAGTCTCTGTGCAATAGTTTTCAGAATACCTGAAGTGTGAGCTTTAGCCAACCCACGTCAAAAACTGGGGAAGTCGGGAAACCTCAGGGTTCAGGTAGAAGCAAAGCTTCCCCCACACTGTTCAGCTGCTGGAGCAGTGCCGCGGGCTATGGGCTCCCCCTGTCTGATACCAATGCCAGCAAGCTGCAGTGAGCCCTGCTATTCCCTGGGGCGCTAGATGGAGCCCCAGAGAGAGAGGGGACGTGCATGTGCCTCAGCTGAGATGGGTCAGTGTGGGCAGCATCGCCTCCAAAATTTTCAGCCCTTCTGAGGGGATTCCAGAGGTTAGGGCCAGACTGACCCTCTGGGACACAGGGACACCTCCAGAGCTTCCAAGTTTCTTGGGGGAATCTGAAACCAAACACTGTCCCCAGGTTGCCCTGGAAGGGTCCAGGCCTGACGTGGGGCTGACTGGTGGCCTTTGCCCCACAGCGCAGGTTCACCTTTCTCCCCTGCCACCCAGTTCCTGGGACCCGGGGTGCAGCCGAGTCTCCGAGAGCCAATTTGTCCTGAAAGGAACATGCACCAGACCAAAGATGCATTATAGGGCCTTTCTGTACCCTGCATCCAGCCTGAGCCCAGCTGGGAGGCCGAGCTGACATCCGTTGTCTCTTGCTGGTTGCCAGATGGAAAGCAACTTAAATAGTTTGCATCTCTTTCTCCCAACTATAGCCCCTGCCTTTGGGTCCACGCCTTCACCTTGAGAGGCTCCCAGACAGAGGTTAGGGGAGCACCTGGGCGTCAGCTTGTCAGGGCTGAGTCCTGGCCTGGCTCCTTATATGACCTTGGGGCGGCCACCTCGCCTTGGCCTCCCCATCTCTATGCCAAGATCATAGTGTTTCCTTCCCTGTGGGCTGTTGTAAGCATTGATGCAGATTGTGCCCTACAGAACCCACACGGGGCCTGGACCCAGTCTTCTCTTGGACAAGTTAGCATCATTGCCTCCCTCTTTCATTCCCTAACAGCATGTGCACGCCTCTGTATCGTACTTGACACACCACTCTGAACCTGGGACCCAGCCATTTGATGGAAGCTTCCAGCACTTTGTATCCATGCGATACCTTTACAGATGCAGAGTCATTAACATTGCCAGTCAGTCACTCATCTTTCAGGCTAAATATACAGTGTATCTGTGAGAACTACTGGTTTGTAATCAGTTGCTGTGTGACCCTGGGCAAGTTTCTTAACTTCTCTGTGCCTGTTTCTTCATTGTCAAGTGGGGTTATAGCAAGGAGTGGCCCGCCTAAAACCCTGTCACCCAGGAGGTCCGGAGTAGGCAAGCACTCAGCAGATGTTGGCGTTTTTCTGTCTGAATTATGCTCCGTGGCCACCCGAGGCTGCTTCCAGTCATTCGGTTCCCCTCCTGCCCCACACAGGTTATAAAGAATTCCCCTGTGAAGACATTTGCCAGTGCCACCTTCAGCTCCCTTCTGGATGTGTTCTTGTCAACAACTGTGTTTCTCATTCTCTCCATCACCTGCTTCCTGAAGTACGGGGCTGCTACCACGCCTCCCCCACCTGCCGCCCTGGCGGTCTTCGGGGCAGCCCTGCTGCTGGAGGTGCTGTGCCTCGTGGTGTCCATCAGGTAAAGCGCCAGCGCAGGGTGCGGGGTGCTCTCCAGCTCTTAGCCTGTAGCTCCCTCTTCTGGCATGACAGATTATGGCCAAATAGTCCAACCGCAGTGCACACACTGGTGGGAAGACAGCTGTCCCTCCCAGCTTGTTTCTGGAGACAGGCCCTCATTTCCTCCCCACCCAAGCCCTGCATCACAGCGCCCTCCCTCCCAGATGCTGGTCCAGGCACAGGAGGGGACCTGTGGGCCCCTGCAACCCCAACTACTGCCGCTGGTCCCTGCATCTCCAGGATTAGAGACTTAAAAGGAGAAAGTGGGGAGACAGGAAGTGGGAAAGGGAGGAAGGAGAGGACAAGAGGTGTGCAGGGTGCAAGTGACAGGCAGCCAGTGGGTCAGTGGGTGCTGCTTCCACGTGTGAGAGCCAAACCACAAACCTCAGAGGAAACCACAGATGTGAATCTTCATGAGCTCAGATTGGGCGGTGGTCTCTTAGATACGACACGAAGAGCACAAGCAACAAAAGGAAAGGTAGGTAAGTTTGACTTCATCAAAATCTAAAACTTTGTGCTGCAAAGAACACCACCAAGAAAGTCAAGAGAGGCTGGGCATGGTGGCTCACGCCTGTAATCCCAGCAGTTTGGGAGGCCAGGGGTTTGAGGTTGCAATTAGCTGTGATGATGCCTCTGCACTCCAGCCAGGGCAACGGAGTGAGACCTTTTCTCAAAAAAAAAAAAAAAAGGAAGAAGAAGAAGAAAGCAAAGAGAACCCACAGAATGGGAGGAAATATTTGCAGGTCAGATCTGACAAGAGTCTACTATCTAGAATATTGTATGAAGAACCCATGCAGCCCAATAAGAAAAAGACAACCTGTTTTTAAAAAGAGGATCCGAGTGGACCGCGGGTGCCTCTTGGGAAAGCTGGGCCCGTGGGACCAGCCTGGAACCCTCAACCAGTGCAGGCAGACTGCCACCTGTTACCCACCTCCTGGGTGCCACGACCACCTTATCCAGCCCTGTCATTCTCAACAGGATGCCTGTCAGCCTAGCAGAGTCCCACTGGCATTGCCCCCAGGAGCTGGGGGTAAAATAGAAATGAGGGGACAGACCCTGACCTTGAGTTTCTGCTACTCTTACCCTACATCCTGACATAGACAAAAATGGCTTTGGGTCTGGCCCTGAGGCTTCCAAACGCTAGTTTCTCCCCCTCTCGGCTGGAATACCTGCCTCCTCCCTCCCACACCTCCTGCCCAAGGGCCCCTGTGGCTCCCAAGACCTTTCTCCGGCTGCCACAACATCCTAAGGTGTAATCTTCACCATCTCCCCAAATTCCCCCCATGATCACGCCCCACGCCCACAGCAGGTGACCCTCCCCCTCGAACAGCCCTGCCAGATTCCTCCCCACCCCGTCCGCCACCAACCAGCTCTCAGGACCCACTCCCCGAGGAACTGCTCACAAGGCAAGTCCTTCCCAGGGTCTGCTTCCAGGGAACCCAAACCAAGACATCCTCAAGCCCCTGCCCCTGGTCTATTTGGGTTTTTCCCTTTTCTTTTCTTTTTTTTAATTAGCTTTATTGTGATTTAATTTACATACAGTAAACTCATTCAAGTGTACAACTCCATGATTTTTAGTAACTTTACAGAGTTGTACAAACATCACCACAATATAATTTTAGGATATTTCTATCTCCCCAAAAGGAAACCCATCCCCATTTGCAGTCACTCCCTCCACGTCCACCCTCCCTAGCCCACCCCGGGTTCCCCTCCAATACGGGAGCGTGCAGCCACTTAATGGCTCTGAGGCGAGCAGCATCTCCACACCCTTTTCTTCAACCACTATTCCCTGTTCTTGCAGACCCGGTTCTGAAGGATCGAGGCTAGCCCGGGTTGAGAGACCATGAGGGCTGCGGGTGTGCTGTGCTGGGCCCAGTGGCACCAACTTGCTCTGCAGGCGTCCCATGAATGAGGGGGCCAGTGTGCTCCTGCATGAGCATTTGGTGGGATTTAGTTCAGTTTACCAGGAATCAAGGCCTAGGAGAAGTCAGAACCCTGAAAGATTTTCTCTGGCCCCTCTGAGGACCATAATTGGGATCCTAGATCAATAAGAATCTGCGCTGTGGAATACGTAGGATCCCCAGGGAAACCAGTTGTGCTGCGTTCTCAGCCTGGCCCGGGGTCTCAACTGCCTCTTCCAGAAAGCTTCCCGCACCGCAGCTCTGGGTTTCGTTCCTCCACTGCAGCCCCAGCCAAGCATGAGGGCAGTTGGTGTCGTCCTTGGACCTCTGCAGGCTCAGGGACCATCGCGAAAGGCCCCCCAGTTTCCCCTGTTCCTGGCTGGGGACTCAGTTCCCTCTGTCCCTCCTCATAGGGCCTCTGTATTCTGCCTTTAAGCATATTTGTGGTTATTCTTGGAAATAGTCCAAGGCCTTCGCTATCCTTTAAATATCAAGAAGCCAGAGCTGCCCAGAATCCTAAAAGGGTCGGACTGTGCCTGCACCAGTGTGGGAAATGGCCAGAGAGTTGGTATTTCTTTGCCGTGGCCACACGCAACCAAAGCTGTCAATGCACTGCAGCTGAGTGAGCCCAGTTTCCTTGTCTCCTACTAAAAGTGAGGGAAGCGGGGACTCTGCCTGCTCCCATGCCCGCCCCAGGGCAGCGACAGCAGCATGGGGGAAAGTTAAGGGGGACCTGTCCCTACGTTCCCTGGCAGAGACCCACCCCAGACCTTCCCCGACAGGATGGTGTTTTTCCTGGAGGACGTCATGGCTTGCACAAAGCGCCTGCTGGAGTGGATTGCTGGCTGGCTTCCACGCCACTGCATTGGGGCCATCCTGGTTTCGCTGCCAGCACTCGCCGTCTACTCGCATGTCACCTCCGAGTTTGAAACAAACATACACGTAAGTAAAGACATGGCAATTTTATTTCCACATTCTTCTGGATTTTCAAATCTCTCTCTCTCTTTTAAAATAAGCTGTTACTTGAGACAGCAATTTAAAAATAGGCCCTTAAAGACATACAAACTCTGGTACTACCTTGAGCCTGTATTTTTAGAAGATAATTTGGCACAGGCCTGCCCAGGTGCTCATGCCCTGTTGTTGGCCAGGCTGCAAAGACTCCCCAGTGGGCACAAGTCCTCTTCAGTGTCACTGGTCCTCACCAAATTTCAAATCAGTTCTTTTCCTTCATGCTTTACAAACAAGCGTCTGTCCCACATTTTTAGACAATAAATGATAATGTGCCAGTCTGCAGAATTGGCAGAAATCCTAGCACTCTGGGAGGCTGAGGCAGAAGGATCGTTTGAGACCAGGAGTTTGAGACTAGCCTGAGCAAGAGCGAGACCCTCTGTCTACTAAAAATAGAAAAAACAAAAATCAGCCAGGTATGGTGGCATGTGCTTGTAGTCCCATCTACTTAGGAGGCTGAAGCAGGAGGATCACTTGAGCCCAGGAGTTTGAGGTTGCAGGGAGCTATGATGATGCCACTGCACTTTACCTGGAGTGACAAAGCAAGACTTTCAAAACAAAAAAAAAAAGAGAGAAGAATTGGCGAAATAATCGACTTGCACCTGGATCAGCTGCTGTTGATCAGGAAAGGACCTTTTGAGGTAAACTCAAGAGCGAACCAATGCTGTTGTGGAAGCTTGTATTTTTGGTGCAAGTGAGTGTAACATCAGCTACCAGGGCAGGTGGACTGCACTCGGTACTTTAGCACCAAATTATATTTCAGTGGGTAGTGGGTAGGTGCCCAAAGGAAAAGCTTTTTGAAGGTGGTAGTTCTCAAATGGGGCAGGCTTCCTTCCCACCAGAACAAAAGTGCCATTTTCACACACCTGGAGAAGAGTGTTAGTACTAGCATGCACTTGTAACCTAACCCTCTGGATAATGAACCTAAAGGGGTTTGATCTGTCCTTGAGACTGCTGGCTAGCCAAAGGAAAGAATTATTGCAGGTAGATAAACCATTTCGTTGTATGAGCGGTATTTTTATATTAAGCAGAAATACAGGTGAGTGGCAAATGCTTCTGAAGTCTCAGGTAGAGCCCAGGTGGAGTGCAGTGGGAAGCAGGGTGGCCATTGCTAACTCTGTACCTCTTTCAGTTCCCCATGTTCACTGGCTCGGCCACACTGATCGCCGTGGTGCACTACTGTAACTTCTGCCAGCTCAGCTCCTGGATGAGGTCCTCCCTTGCCACTGTCGTCGGGGCTGGGCCGCTGCTTCTGCTCTACGTCTCCCTGTGCCCAGACAGGTACGCAACCTGCACTGCATGCCAGACACCCTGGACACCGGGGCATGTTGCCAGGCTCAGGCCTGGCTGAGTTTGCACATTGGCACTGACACCACCCTCCCCAACAGCAGTTGTTTACCATCATGGCCCAAAATAACTTTCAACACACATCATGTCAAAAAGTTAGTAAGACGCCCTAAGAGTAATATGCAAAAGAAAGAAAAAGAAAATCATTTATAACAACATACTATATATTTGAATATAGACACCCTTGGAAGATGTAATACAGCAGTTACATGAGTTGGAATCTAAGAAAGTAAGACCTGAAGCGTTTCATGGAAGACAGTCAAGAGGATGAAAGAGTAGAGGTGAAAATGAGGAAGCCACTAGTTCTGACCTATTGAAGTAGGGCTCAGGTACCAAGACAGGCTCCAGATTGTGGAAGGAGAGGAAGTGAAGACATGGGATGATCTTGCAAGTGACCTGGGCCTTATTTACAAGTCTGTGTCAAAACAATTCCCCATACTATGACTCGAGTCATAGGAATAATGACCAGTCACTGCACATATATCGCTTATCTCGAAATCCCTCCACATACTGAGGAGTAGCTCAGTTGCTGGTACTCAGAATGGCCTCGAAACCATAGCACTGATGGGTGCCGAGGAATAGAGGATGGTGTGGACAAAGAACCAGGAGTTGGGGTGGTAGACCTCCCGACGGGACAGGAGCAGTTCCCATCGTTGTGTTACAAATACTAAAAATACACAGGATAGCAGTGATAGGTGCTGTATTTGAAATAGCCTCTGTTAGCGAGATCCAGTGAGATCTTTCACATGTTCTAGTAATACTAATTGAATAATGTTTGTTTGGATCCTACTTTGTTAAATGAGTGTTAAATTGTTGTTCATTTCCAACTGGTTTTGGGGCTTTTAAGCTTTTTCAACTAAATATGTAGTTGGAAATACAATAATACCTTGGATAGCAGGATGCCTACAGTGAACAATTTATTCAGATATTTCATGATATCTTAAATCCATTAAGCTTCCATTTGTATAACAAACTTCTCCTAAATATTGGGCTTTTTCTGGAACTGCTTATAAATGTTTCACTGTTAACATGTATTGAGGATCCACCTATTTACAATTACAGAGGGTTTAGGCAAGCAGGATATTTTGAAGTTCCATGGGACATTTTTTTTATTGTGCTCTGCAGGACAGCTAACATTCCAACTCCCTAAATTATTATGACAATCAAAGGGACCCTTAAAATTTCCAAGATGCCCCCTAGGAGTAGCATTACTGTTACTTTAGTGAATTCAAAAGCACAAAATGATCCAACGTGTTGTCCTCTCAGCAATATGAAATGTAATAGTCATAGGTATCCTTGAGTATTAAAGCAGTGGTCAGTAACGGACAGACTAAGTCTCCTTCCTCAATTTACTTAATAAGATAATAACGATATGAAAGATATTCAAATTCCCTGCACATTAAGATCAAAAAGGGAATTTAAAGTAGAACCGTCATTCAGTATTTGAAAGGAAACTATAAAGAATAGTTAAATTACTTTAAGCAAAATAAAGCATACTTTCATCGTTGTGAAGGTACGGCCATCTGGAATCACGGTCATTATGAAGCTCTTTACCGAGAGGATGAAATGCAACAATCGGCCTTTAACCTTTTAGCTCCATCACAAATACATCATTGGCCATTCAGAGTGTCATTTGGTCACGGCCGTGGGGACTTTCCACCCGGATCTAGAGAGCCAGAGGGGTGAGGGACCCTCTGTTGCCCTTTCACCGAGAGTTCAGGTAGCAGCTCTCAGGGCCGGGCTGGTGGTGGGAGCTCCCCTGGCCCAGGACTCCTTCACCCGCACAGGGTCCTCTTACCTACATGGAGCCCCCACCCCCTCAGCGTAGCTGTGCCCAGCCAGGCAGGGAGTGTGTGAGTGGTAAGCAGAGGTACAACCTCAGCTTCTGCAAAGGAGCAGGGGGCTCTTCTAAGGACTGTCTCCAGCATCAAGGAACGAAGATGTGGAAGGAGAGGTGAGCGTGCATGCATGATGACAACAGTGCCATCATGTCTAAAAAAGGAAAGTTGTTTGTTTAAGCTCTTCTCAGGTTGCTTTCTAGAATTCTGTCTTTGCTTTTTATAATGATGTTTTTCTGTGTTTTAATTTCAGTTCCATAGTAACGTCACCCCTTGATGCAGTACAGAATTTCAGGTAAACTTCTGATGTACCTATATCTAAATACGTGAGTGACTGTGCTACTCCTACTTGTTTCTAAGCTTCCTGAAAGCAGTCGTATCTTAAATAAAATGAACAATACATACATTCTTAAAAGAGGAAGTGGAAAATACCTACTTGTTGAAATATCAGATCATAGTTATAATATTTAATTGGGAAAATAAGATGATTATTTAGACATATATTGGAGTTGGTGTAATTTCATGTAATACTTTGGGATGTTACAAAAGACATCTCACAAATCAAAGAAAAATAGTTATTTCCTAAAATATTTTTAAATAACTGACTGTAACTTTGAAATAATAAATGTTAGAACCTTGCTTTACTGTAAACATCAACATAAATTCTAAAAATCTTAAAAGAGTCAAAAATAAAAATTAAAGTGTATAAAATCTAGAAAAAATTAAAATGAGATAGTTTTCAAGCTTCTAAGACAGAACTTTCCAGTTTTACAAATAAAAAATAGAACCACAAAGAAAAGACTGACTAATAAATTAAAAAGGGAGAGGAAATCAAGGCAAACAGAAAAATATTTGTGGGACTATTATTTAAAGGAGCAAATTAAGACCTGCATAAAGGACAGAAACCAAAAAATTCACAAAAGAGGAAATGTGGGTAGAAGACAAGTGTGGATGTGTGCACGGTGTCGCTGCACATTCACATAACCACACAGTTCCTTTGTTCTTTTGTTCTCTGACTAGTCTCTAATTGGAATGGTATTTTTTTGGGCTTTTAAATTGGAGTTTCAAAAAGTTATAACATGAATGCCCAGTGCAGGCAAGGGTGTAGTATATTCATAAATTGTGGTTAATTTTTTTGTTGGCTACCAGGCATTTAAAATATAAGTTTATTTAATCCTCACAATAACCTGGCTTATTAGGTGACTTTGTCCCTGTTTTCCAGATGATGAAGCCAAGGCTTAGAGAAGTTAAGGAACCTGCTTGTGGTCACACAGCTCGTCCTTGGCAGAGTTTAGACCCTGGCCTCCCTCACTCCCAGGCCGTGTTCTTCCTGCCATGCCTCATTACTTCTCAGAACATTGCAATAGTTTTGGAAAGTAACGTGGCGATCTGTAAAAAACAGTCATAAAAATGTTCATAGCTTTCAACCTAATAATTCCATTTTTGCTTATTTGCTGAGGAAATAATTCAGTATATGGCAAAGGCTGCATGCCAAAAAATATCAATCACAATGATTGATAATATTGAAAATCCATTGCAACTTCAGTTGTCAATAATAAAGAAATTGTTATGATAAATGTACCCAAATACTACAACTATTAAAATGTAGCAAATAATGGAAAACATTTTCATTTTTCATTATGGGAAATTGTATATTATTAAAATAGCTACAACTAAGTAATTACATATATAAAAATTATAAGATATAATATTTATGATATAATAATGAGTGATGATTGCAACTATAGTATTTAAAAGCAAAACACCTAGTATCTTTTTTTAAATTAACATTTTATTGCCATATAACATATGCACAGAAAAATACCTGGATCATAAGAGTTTAGCTCACTGAATTTTCACTAGTGAACACACTCATTTAACTACCACCCAGACCAAGAAATAGAACATTACCAGCACCCCAGCCCCCTCAGGCCCCTCCTGGTGACATCCTCTCCCTCACCGCATCCTAGGTGTAGACTGTAAATGGCACTGAAATACACCAAAATGTAAACAAATGCTGTGTTTAGCTGGTTAGGACTGAGAGTGATCTTTGTTTTCTCTATTCTTAAATCCCTCTTCTCCATGATAATCAATTATGCTATATTTTACTCTAACTTCCACTTATGATTTAACGTCTAACTGTGTGTGGTCATAAATTGACTCTTGCATTTAGTCACATAAAATTCTTCTTTTTGAAACTGACTTTTGCTATTTAAACTTGAGAATAGGAGCATCACGTTTGTTCCTTCTGTATTAGAATAAGAAATACAGGCTGTGGGTTGGAAGTAATTCTCTCACCTGCTTGTTACAGACATTCTCTGTTGCAAGGCAGCCTCCTTGGCTACTAACCGTAAATACTATGGATTAGGACTTTTTCCACTTTAAACAAAGGTAAAAAGCCAATGCTGTAATCTGTTTCCCTTTCCTTCTCACACTAGCCCACATTTTGCTGTTCTCTCTGCCAGAGAGGACTGGCTTGTGCCCATCTCCAGAGTAGGGCTTACTGCTGGCCCCGGCTACAGCACAGCAGGAAAAGCTACAAGAGCAATAACCAATTGGGGAAATCCAGATACAGTCATCCAGTCCTACCACAGAGATTTAAAATACCTCATCATACCATTGCGATGATGTTAAAGCTTGGTGACATCTACTTACACAGGGAGCTGTTCCTCTGTATCACCACTTTGAGAAACCACAAGCAACTCCTAACCCAACGAGATGTGCTCACAAAAAGAGAAGTCTTCCTCCTGTTTTAGATTCTCTCTCTACTCTATTTAAAAGCCAACCAGAGGGCTTAAGGGGCTGGACATAAATGTGTTTTGGTCATCTAACATAAATAGTTATTTTGCTTAGTACTTGAGATTCATGATATGTATTATCATTTATTAGTAAAATAAGTAAGTGAAGCATGGGGTGCCTTACCCTAGAGGACTTTTTTGGTTCCTGGCTCATAAGCGTTGAGTCATGGAACCTATGTTCGGGTCCCCAAGACCACCCCCAGGTGGACTTAAAGGACTGAACACATTGTCATATTCATGGCTGTGATGTATTACAGCGAAAGGACAGAAAGTAAAATCAGCAAAGGGAAAAGGTACGTGAGATGAAGCTTGGACCAGTAGAGTCCACAGGATGTGCTTAACTCCTCCAGCCATGAGCTGAGACAGCGTATGTGGAGTGTTACCTACCAGGGAAGCTCATTAGCGACTCGGTGTCCAGGGTTTTATTAGGGGCTCGTCAGGCAGGCAGCCTCTGCCTAACATGTGCCAAAATTCTAGACTTCCAGAAGGAAAGCATGTCTTCGGCATAAAACTCATTGTACAAACAGCACAGGCGCTGTTATCAAGGAATGGTGGGAACCCTCCCCAAATCCAAGCTCCCTGACCCCAGCCGAGGGCCACCCTTGCAGGCAGGTGTTTCTAAGGGTGGCAGCCTCGGGTACCTCTTTTCTGCACAGAATCTTAGCCAGAAGGAATGTAGCCATACTCTAGTCCATCTTCACAGTTTACGTGTGAGGAAGTGGAGGCCCAGAAGGATGGCATGGCTTGCCCTCAGTTCCAGGACTCTACCGTGGTCCAGCCAGATGAAGCCCAGGTGTTCTACTCCAAAGCCAGGGCTTTTGTAACTGTGCTTCATGGAGGGCTGTGATGGCTACATTGGTCAAGTTCATTATTTTTTAATATCCTTAAGTCACGATTAAGAGTAAAATTTATTAAACACTTTGATTAAAGAATTGAGGCTGGGCATGGTGGTTCATGCCTGTAATCCCAGCACTTTGGGAGGCCGAAGTGGGAGAATCACTTGATGCCACACATTCTAGACCAGCCTGGGTAACATAGCAAGACCCCATCTCTAAGAAATATTAGCCAGGCATGGTGGCACATACCTGTAATCCCAGCTATTTGGGAGGCTGAGATAGGAAGATTGCCTGAGCCCAGGAGTTTGAGGTTACAGTGAACTATGGTCATGCCACTACACTCCAGCCTGGGCAACAGAGCAAGACCTGTCTCAAAAAAAAAGAAAAAAAGACAGGCCGGGCGCGGTGGCTCACGCCTGTAATCCTAGCTCTCTGGGAGGCCGAGGCGGGTGGATTGTTTGAGCTCAGGAGTTCGAAACCAGCCTGAGCAAGAGTGAGACCCCGTCTCTACTAAAATTAGAAAGAAATTAATTGGACAACTAAAAATATATATAGAAAAAATTAGCCAGGCATGGTGGCGCATGCCTGTAGTCCCAGCTACTCGGGAGGCTGAAGCAGGAGGATCGCTTGAGCCCAGGAGTTTGAGGTTGCTGTGAGCTAGGATGACGCCACGGCACTCTAGCCCGGGCAACACAGTGAGACTCTGTCTCAAAAAAAAAAAAAAAATTGAGCTTTCTCTGTCATGGAGCTATAGAAACTGAGGATCCATCAATTTTATATATAATTATATTTATGTGTAGTAACCAAGCCCATTGTTACATAAAATCTAGTAGCCTGCTCTGTGCACTTGAGAAATGCATCAGGGTGCAAAATTCATATGAACAGAATAATCACAGTGTTGTAAAAAAAAAAAAATAAAAAAAGACTAGAAGGAAATTCAACAAATGTTAATAGTGATTGCCTCTGGATGGTGGGATGGTGGATGAATTATTTTTTTTGTTTCTACTTTTCCCCCAAATTTTCTATGATGAGTCTGTAGTATTTTTAAATGGAAAAAAATTATATTTAAGAAACAAACTTTGAAAGAGATTGTGCTGCTCGCCAGTCATCCGCAGTCTCTGACCACAGCTATTTCCCATCAAGCTCCCATCAAGCTAGAGAACAGCCCCCCTGAAAGCTGGTTCAGTTATCAGAGAGAATAAAAACTTGTTCAGCCTCTTAGAAGGGCAATTTGGAAATTTCTAATGAAATTCTAAATGTGCAATATTTCAAATGACTCAACAATTCCATATACACAAAGATGGGGTAGAGGAATATTCATTGCAGCATGGTTTGTGGTAGGAAAAATTGGACACAGCCTCCCGGTCCACTGAGAGTAATCTGGTTAAATTACAGGACATCCCTGTACAGGAACACTCTGCAACCACAGAGAATTACAACAGCGGGTACCTCAGAGGAAAGACACTTGTTTTCTGTTGTTTATACCGTTTGAGTTTCTTACAGTGTGTGTATATTACTCTTAAAAGTATACACTTACATTCTTTTTTAAAAATGTTAAAATTGTCTTCTATGACACAGGCAAAACAGAACTAACGCAGAGTGAGGGGAGATGGCATTTTGTCAAACTTTTATATAGGTAGAGAGTAGAGCACCTATAAAAGTTCTTTGTAAAGTGACAAGTCTGTTGGATTAGAAATCTAAGAAGCAAATATATCAGAGAATGTTCAATTTCTCAGGTATAATACTGATATTGTCGTTATATAGAGAAATGTCCTTATTCTTAGGACATATGTACTAAAATATTTAGAACTGAAGTGTCATGTCAGCAACTTTCAAAATATTCAGCAAAACGCGTGTGTGTATGTGAGAGAGAGAAAGCAAAGTGGCAAAATATTAACAGTTGTTGAGTGCAGGGTAAGGGTGTATGAGTGTTTGTTTTACTCGTAACTTTCCTATAATGTTGAGATTTCTTAAAATGAAAAGACAGGGAAAAAGCTTAAAAAGAAGCTAAAGACTGCTGGGGGAAAAAAGAAAAGCAATTACAAAGCACTCATTAAAGAAATCAGTTACGAAAGTCAGTCATTATCTCTCTGTGTCTTCAGCCAGCCAAAACCAGAGGCGGGCTGCTTTATGGCTTCAAGTTGCGGAAGGTTTGAACTCAGTGAAACTTTGCATGCTGGTTAGCTGGGCTGTTTCAGAGCCTGCAAGTACTGAGTTGTAACCTTTCCCTTCAAAGATACACTCAGAAAGTATGTCCTTTCTCATGTCTTTGCTCTCCAGCTCCGAGAGGAATCCGTGCAATAGCTCGTTGCCAGGAGACCTCGGGAGGGCAGCCAGCCTGATCAGCCAGGAGGTGATTCTTGTCTTCTTCCTCCTGCTCTTGTTGGTCTGGTTCCTGAACCGAGAATTCGAAGTCAGCTACCGCCTCCACTACCACGGGGATGTGGAAGCGGATCTTCACCGCACCAAGATCCAGAGCATGAGGGACCAGGCCGACTGGCTGCTGCGGAACATAATCCCCTACCATGTGGCCGAGCAGCTGAAGGTGTCCCAGACCTATTCCAAGAACCACGACAGCGGAGGCGTGATCTTCGCCAGCATCGTCAACTTTGGCGAGTTCTACGAGGAAAACTACGAAGGAGGCAAGGAGTGCTACCGGGTGCTCAATGAGCTCATTGGGGACTTTGACGAGCTCCTGAGCAAGCCAGACTACAGCAGCATCGAGAAGATCAAGACCATTGGGGCCACATACATGGCAGCGTCAGGGCTGAACACTGCCCAGGCCCAGGATGGCAGCCACCCACAGGAGCACCTGCAGATCCTGTTCGAGTTCGCCAAGGAGATGATGCGCGTGGTGGACGACTTCAACAACAACATGCTGTGGTTCAACTTTAAGCTCAGAGTTGGCTTTAACCACGGGCCCCTCACAGCTGGGGTCATTGGCACCACCAAGCTGCTGTACGACATCTGGGGGGACACTGTCAACATCGCCAGCAGGATGGACACCACTGGCGTCGAGTGTCGCATCCAGGTGAGTGAGGAGAGTTACCGCGTCTTGAGCAAGATGGGCTACGATTTTGACTACAGGGGGACGGTGAATGTCAAGGGGAAGGGCCAGATGAAGACCTATCTTTACCCAAAGTGCATGGACAATGGGGTCGTGCCGCAGCACCAGCTGTCCATCTCCCCAGACATCCGCGTCCAGGTGGACGGCAGCATCGGACGATCTCCCACGGACGAGATTGCCAACCTGGTGCCTTCTGTCCAGTATCCGGACAAGACGTCTCTGGGCTCTGATAACAGCACGCAGGCCAAGGACACTCACCTGTCCTCCAAGAGACCCTGGAAGGAGCCCATCAAAGCCGAAGAAAAGTTTCGGTTTGGCCAAGCCATAGAGAAAAACGACTGTGAAGAAATGGGAATGGAAGAAGCCAATGAACTCACCAAGCTCAATGTTTCAAAGAGTGTGTGAGGCAGCACCTGCAAGCTGCCCGAGGTGCTCTGTTCGTCGAAACACAATATTTGTATTTGGCTGTTGTGCTTTCTAAGCGCCACAGTTTCCATCCCTGGACGTGGTGTTATGTGGTCATTTCAGCCCTAACTTCTGTGTGGATCACAGTTATTCAGGGTTCATTTTCATCCATTTCCTTCCCTTTGCTCCCTTGCCTGCACTCTCCCCCTTGGGGTATCCGTTCAGCACGTGGAGGAGAACAAGTGCCTTCAGGGCTTGGCCTTGGCCTGGAGTCTAGGGACAGAGGCCACAGTGGAAATCATTGCTTTGGGTATTATTTGACATTTAAAACAAAAGCTGAAGTTAAGATATCATTTTCATTGTTTTTTCTCACGAGACACTTTTTTGGGGGGAGGGGAGTGGCTAATGCAATGTTTTTATTTTTTTCTGTATCCATAATAGTGTTTCCCAATTACCTGACCTTTCTACGTAAGCACATACACGCACATACTTGCATTTCTGAATCTGATATAAAGTGCCAGTAATTCACGGAGAGGGGATGCGAGAGGGGAGTGTGGGCACCCATGCCTTCCCGGGCACCTGGGCCTTTGCAGGCTGGGGGTGCACTGAGCTCCCTGCGCCGAAGGGCTTCAGGGGTTTCGCCACACACATGCCAAGATTACACATGCTCACCGGGCACAAAGCCTGTGCACCCAGGCCTCAGATATCTCAAAGCCGTTCATCCTGACCCTCCGCCGAGGGGTCTGCCAGTCGAGGGTGAGGGTGTTTGTCTTGGAAGCTGACACGTCTGAGGGGGAAACTCCAAATAAGCGTCAGAGGGTTGCCTTTATTTATTTATTTATTTATCAGGCAGTGTGTGTGTGGGAAGGGGGTGCTGGGTTTTTTGGGTGGAGGGAAATAGCCTATGGGGTGGGGCAGTTCACAGGATGATGACAAGATGTCCCTTAGTGTTTCGGCCACCTGGGGCCACCTCCCCCTAAGAGGGGACAAGTGGGATCCGGAGCCACGTCCAGTGCAGTTCTAGGGCTGGGGGAAGCTCCCCAGCTGCCCCTCCCATCTCCAGGGCTGTTCCCTGTGGAGCTCCGGATGGAAACCTGGCTGGGCGGGCAGCGCCACACTGTCCTGGCTTCCACAGATTTGGGAAGTTTCTCCCTTCTCTCCCACTCTCGGACTGCACAGGGCCTATTTGTGGCAGGATTTAGTCTTGTGAGCTAATCCCAGCGTCTTGAGGTGGTGTCCTTACACTGTACTTAGGGACAGAGTCATCTGTGTGCACATGAGGCGTGACGCCAGCCAGGAGGAGGTAGAGAAAACCTGAGAGGAAAATTGCTTCTGAGCTTTTGGTTTTTGATCCTGTTTGTAATTATGCTTTGCCATGTTGAGTCTGAAGTTTATGTCACAGTGAATTCAGGCCAGAGTTGCCCGGGTGCCGTCATCGTCATTATTCTTCCAGGTGATACTGGCGTACAGCTCACGGGACATCGGAGATGAGCTCCTGGTCTGTTGGTCTTTCCTGGCGCGCCCTGTGTGTCTGCTTGTCACTGGTAAATCTCACTAATTCTCACATCTACATCAAGTCCTAGCATCACTGCTCCCCCCAAAGACATACAGATCTGCCATTTCCAGCACAATGAAATAGTGATTCTGATCCACCCCCCTCCAGGGGATGTGCCTGGGACAGCCGCCCCGCAGCGCAGCCGCAGCCAGGATCCGACGTCCGGGGATTGAGAGCATTCTCAGTAACTTTTAGATTTTCCTCCAGGTTTTACGGTCAGTTTGTTGGTCTTCCAATACCGAAGAAAGGATGGCTGTGATAATACCTCTTGCTTCTAAAGAATGTATTCTTATAAAACACCGCAGATTTTTTTTTCTTAAAAAAAAAAAAAACACTACCTGATGCTTTCCTTGTTTGTACATAGGGATTGTGGGCACATTAGGATTTTTCTGCCATCAGTATTAAGGTGTGTATTTGAATGTCCTCTCCTTTGCCTCCCACCTCCAGTCTGCTTAGCTTTGAGGGGCTGGGCGATTGCTGATGTCTTTGCTGTCATGGTCAAAATGTGCTCTACAAAGTTCATCTCTGCACACGCTCTTCCCCATCAAACTCTTTTCCATCCCCTACCACAAAGGTGTCTGTGATTCCTCACCCTGGGAACCCACGGAGCTGCAAAACTGAAGTCTGGTTCAGCATTGTGTGAGTAGGAGCCTCTGACAAAGGGCAGCTCACCCAGAGTTTAAATTTGTCCTTAAAAAACACCCTGAGCCTTCTTAAATAACCAGTACAGATGTTTTCTGGGCCATGAAGCCCCTCGGGTCCTTCCACTTCCCTGCTCTGAAGCGCATACCTCAGTGCAGAACCACAGAATCTCTCTGGCAGAAAAGTCGTGCTTTTCAGTCTGTTGGCACTGAACAAATAGTTGCTAGAGACACATAGGTTCCTAAGCAGTGGGCTCAAGTGCCATCGACAGGATGGATAGTTCTTCAGGGTGGCAATACCTCTTAGGAACTTAGGACAGGAAGCAATACTTCAGAATTGAATGTGTGTAAATAGTTGCTTCGAGTTGCAGTTGCTCTTTTCTTCTCGGCCCCAGCTCAGATCGAATGATACATACATATATACAATAAACAAGCACACATAATTTTATCCAATGCAAACAAATGTAGAGCATCAGTTATGGAGAAACCCTTAAATAGCTTGAGGGTCCCACAGATTGTGCCACACCTGTGCATGACTCCATCGACACTGACTTCACTTGTGGGGACCACACCTGCACATTTGCACATGACACGGAGAGCCAAAGGGCCGCGTGCTTCTCGTTACTTGGGCTGTAATCATTTGTAGTTTCCAAAGATACATCTGCATTTGAATTTCTAGATTCTCGAGGTTAAGCGTTTTTTGATTGGTTGTTTCAAAAATCATACCATGCCTAGAATCTGAAATTAACCGTTTGCATTTTCCATATTTTCTTTGATCTGCTCTTTTTAAATTGTTAATTCTAATAATTTCAAAATGCATTCACCGAAGAAATGGACATTAAAATATTCTAAAATCTAAATATTTGACGCCTGGTATTTCCTCATTGAAAAGATCAGCACTGCTTCAAAGATGAGGGCAGTCCTCCTTGGACTCTGTGTTTTCTGCAATTTGTGGCTGAAATTGGAAGGTTTGCTTTTCCTTCACACCATTATTTCAAAAACAGGGCAGCTAAAATACCCCGTTTGTATGTGGGTTTTTTTTTTTTTAATGCACATATTTGCTACAATTATCTTTGGTTGAAAAGTATTTATTTTTACATGGAATTTTTTAAAATCAGGTTGCAGGACCAGTTTTGCTTGTGACAATTTCCTTATTAGGCCTTCTAAGTAGTTTTTTCTGCAACATCTTAAGGGAAGGAATTGACTGAGAAAACAAAGTAGGCTTTCTGAAAAGCAGTGTCTCCCTTACCGAGTGACTGCGGATACCTGTGTCATAGTGGTCCCTGATGTTTTGGAACGTCACAAAGCCACTCCAGAATCTGTTTAAAGTCACAGAGCCTCTTCCCAGAAAAACGCACATGCCATTCTGTACACATCTTAGGGGCTCACAACACCTCCAAATCTGAGGCGAAACAATGGATCTGCTAAGGGTTAGAGCCTCTTCCCCTGGTGAGTCAGGTATTCATGAGCAACTTCAGGGCACAAAGATTCTCTTGCAACTCTCAAAGGGAGATGCGGACACAGCTTCCAGTCATTGCTCATCTTCCAGGTGATTCTCTGGTGGACCCCAGTGCCCGAGAGGACCCTACTTGTTGGCGAAGGCACGCTTTCCTCCCCGAGATGGTGCTGCAGGTGTCCCTAGCAACCTTTCCAGGTTAGTGAATAATGGTCTTTGCTTCATTGAAGGTCTTGTAAGGATTTGGGTCTTTCTACTAGAAGGGGCACCCAGGGACTTGGCAGATTTCTCAGTCAGGAAAGGCAGCCTGTACTTTTTGCAGTAAGCCCCAGAATTTACCATTTGTGACTTCTCTTTCATCTGAAATCTTTCACATGGTTGCTTTTCCCTGCTATGAGAATCCATCGCTGTGGCCACCTGGAGTAGATCCCAAGTATCGGGACAGTGAAGCTAACTAGAGAAGGAGCTATGTGAGAGGAAGCAATTAAGAAAAAGTACACACTTTTACACTATATATGTGTACATTTCAGATCTCCCATGTCTATTTTTATACAGTTCCTTCATAAAAATTGGCTTTTTTAATAACATGACTCCAAAGAGTTGTAACCGAGTATTAGAGTAATTTAAGCTTGGGGAATTCTTGTGTTCCTGCTGGGCCTGAGAGTCCTAGGGAGATGTGAATTAAGCAATTCAAGCGCCTGTTGGGATCTCATTCATCAACAGAGTGATTCTTACCCTTTTTTTTTTTAAGCTCACAAAGCCTTTGATAATTTCATGAAAGCTATGGCTCCTTTCTCCAGAAAAATGCACATAAAAACAACTCTCTTGATGTTGCATATACAGGAGTCCATGGATCCAAATAAAGTATCCCTGATCTGCAATAACCAGAGGAATGATGACTTTTAGTTACGACTATCTGTAGATGAAGTTTCTAAGCATTTCTGAACTCTCCACTGGAAACTCAATTCAACATGTTAATGCTACCCATTTATATGTGCATTTTTTATCAAAATTATATTTTAGAATTTTATGTCTGAGCTATCTAAATATATTTGAAGAGCTACTTAAAGAACATTTCAATATATAAATACAAAGTTAACTGAATTGTTTCCGACAGTTAAGTAACATTCAGCCAGTATTTATTGAGTGCCTACTATGTGCCAAATAATGCCCCAAAACTCCCTTTATTTAGGTTGTTAAATTTGCTGGAATACTTGAGAAAAACTGCTTTTCTTTTTTGCGGGGGGTGGGGGGGTTCCCATCCTTCTCCTGAGAAACTGCTTTTCATGATGGCTTTACCACTATGAATTCTACTAGCTGAAGCGACTTTCAAGACATCTGGAGTCACGTGGTGACATTTTTAAGCAGAGGTCTTAGTGGAGATTATTTTATTGTCCATGATTTTATGGAGTAGTCAATCTCTGAAGAAAGAGCAACAGAGGGGAAGCATTCAGAGAAAACAGCTACACCAATATTGTGTTGGTCCCTCAAGAAAGATGAGTCCATTCCACATGCTGCCCATGGGATCGTACATTTTATTTTTAAAACAGTCCTCTCCCAACAGTGACTGGAGTCCCAGCATGAGGGTGCCGCCCAGCAGAGACCCCTCTCCTCTCTGATGAAAGCTGTGGTTGGAGACCCAGATGTCTTGGCCAGTCCCCTCTCGGCCTGGGCACAGTTGGGAGCCCAGGGTAGCCCGGCCTTCAACAGTCTTCCGGAAAGTTGCCCTTTCTGGGTCTCCTTATGACCTTCTTTATCTCCTCTTTGAACAACATTCTTGCCCTCTCAGGAGGGAGGGAGATGAAGGGGATCAGAAACAAGGGATTGTTGGGTTTGTCCCCGTGATTTCGTGAAGAAGCAAGCAGTATTGGAGACGTGGAGAGGGGCGTGAAATAGATTCCTGCACTCTGCCTGGGAGGCCCTTGGGCATAGTTTTCCCGGTGCCCCAGACACACCTGAACAGCTCCCGCAGCTCTCCTTTTTGGGACCCCCATCTTGTATTCTTCATGGCCTTCCAGCCTGTTCTGTCCCCTCAGAACTGGTCTACGGGACTCTGCAGAACTTGGGCCAGCCCAGCTCCAGCTCTGGTTCTCTGTGTCTCCAAGACACATTGGCCTTCCATCAAGCCCCAGGGTGCATCCTATTCTCCCCTCTACTTGTGGCTCCC